TTAGTGCCTGCGTGCACCTATGTACGTGAATCAAATTGGTGGCTGCGTTTGGACGTGCCGTGCATGTTAGCCGAATCAGGGACTCGGGGTCAATCGATCCTAGTTGGGCTGGTAGAGTCCGAGTTTTGTTTGGGTCAGGTGGCCTACGTGCCTATACCTGTGGCCTTCGACCTTATACTGGGTAGATTAGACTGGATTTTATTGTGGAGTTTATTCTCCGAGTCAGCCGCTTCGAAAAAACCTAGATGGTGATCCCATCGAGTTCTTCGATTGAAGATTATCTTCGGATGGTGATCTCGTCCCTGTACTCCACGGTGGCTGCTTTTTTGGTGTGTCATATCGGATCTATTCGCTAAACGAAGGAGTATGGATCTATGGTGAACCAGTTAAAAAGTTTAGGACCTAAAAATGTAATTTAAAAGTTGATGGACCTGGATGACACACCACCAAAAGTTAATGGACCTAAAAATACAGTTTGAAAGTTGATGGACCTGAATGACACACCACCAAAAGTTAATGGACCCAAAAATACAGTTTGAAAGTTGATGGACTTAAATGACACAACACCAAAAGTTAATGGACCTACGGTGCATTTAACTCTTGTTTTTTTATTAGTATCCGAACACCCCATGTGACACTCGATATGACACCCCCAAAACTTTATACCCTAAATTTAAATAAGCCCTAGAGACAATCACCGGCAACATCCACCACTGGTTGTGCAACATGCGTAGGCAATCACACACACGGCATTGTATTGCACTCGCCGGGCTCGCCGCAACTTGCAGCCGGGTTGCTTTGCTTTTTAGGATGTACTCCCTCCGTTCAGGAGATAATGTAATTTTAGCATAATGTCACATTTTAGAATCTTAAGTTTGACTAATTATAGATAAAAAAAGTATTAATATTTATGATATCAAATAAATACCATTAGAATAATTATAAAATGTATTTTCATAATAAATTAATTTTGAGTCATAAATGTGAATAATATTTACTAAAATAGTGGTCAAATGTGGACTACTTTTGCCAACACATAACCTATAATTGCGTTCTTTCATGGACTGATGAGGGAGTACTAGCGAGGGGTGTGTGGCGTGAGCAAACGCCCAGGCCGCCTGGAGGCTGGAGCTATCAGGGTTGGGGCCGCACGGACCACGGATAAGGCAAGGGAAGCAGCAGCCGGGAGATGCAACTGATGAATCATTTCATGGGAGATGGAGAGGGAGAGTGTACTTGTTGTAACACGTGCGTACTCTCGTGGAAAAAGGAGTTTACCTACGGATGTGGATGGTCCTACTCCTATTCTAGCTAGGCTCCTCCCCGTTCCTTCAGCGACCATCCAAGGATTGGTTCACGTTTCGCTCTCAGGCACGCATGTCTACTCTGGCTAGGCACTCTCTGGACTGGTCTCCATACAAACCTTGAACCCAGCAACTTATAGATAGCCAATCCCAGCCTGCCAAACTACCAGACGCGACGCCCATGTTTGACCCCTTCCTAGGTTAGAAACCTGGTAACACCTTTTTTTTCAACGGAAGACGACCCAACCGAAGTTAAAGATAACTTTGGTTAGCTGATGACTCGACACTAGCTACTAGCTAGCGCATGCAAATCAACCCGGCCAAGTGGTTCAGGGGGCCCACAGCTAGTTACTAAAATGGGATAAAACTGCGTCATCAGACATAACAGCATGGTCAAATACCAAACTCGATCTACATCCAGCTAGCCCGCCCTAGTGTTAATTTCCAACCAGACGGTGCACAACACGATTGCGAGAATCAGCTGCCCCAGGAACAATTAAAGTCGTCGTTTCCAGACAGAATCCAGTCTTCATACATCTCATGTTTCTTCAGATGCCCCCAGGTAAAACTTCTTATGTCCCCTCACTCAAAATAGCAGTGGCCAAGGCTATTGTTAAAATATCCCTATATGGCCAAATGAGGAAACGCACTAGCACATAATATGGTGAATATTTTCCTGCTTTTTCAGGTCACGTGGGGGAATAAGTTGGTGTTAGGTCTTTGCAGTCGCGATTGCACAGTGTGTGTTATCCTGGTGCTCCCCTTTCGTCCAATCAGGATAAACCACCACTCCCAAAAGTGAGCCTGATCGACAGCGTTCCGTCAAAATCGCACGAAAGGAAGCATTGGGCTTTTAGTTTATATATTTTCTATAATTGCCGAGCGATCAGTAGAGCCCGTAAAGTGATTCTTCCTGTCTACTAACAAGACAGTTCAGTTGCTTCGCCTCAATTGGTTCCCCTAGAACCTAGTTCCGTTTCTTTAACCTCCCAAAAGCAAGCACTGTCCCTTCGGTAAAACACAGCCCCCAGGCTCCAGCATATGCTATGCGTATTAGTGGTGGTGTGATGATGTGTGAAAAAGTTTCCCCCAGTGAGCAGCTTCTTTTCTTTTCAAGGAGGATTGGTCAGGGTGCCTATTCTAGCCAGGAAGGGCCAATAGGCGAGAAGAGCAAGTCCTAGATTGAAGTAAACAAAAGCCTAGAAGGATTCAAAGGATTCTCATATGATTTGGTGATTGCTGGAGATTTTTTAGAAGGAAAAAGGAGCCCACAAGGTGACAACTGTGGGCTGTCGCTCCTGTTCTTTTCTGTGGGTGGAAACGGAAGTGGCGCACACACCATACGAGGTTATCGAGGTATAAAAAATGCTATCGCAAGACGTGGAGGATTGATATCCAGTCTTGGTTCTGTGTATATGATATTGAATGTCTCCAGACCAAATTAAACCCACAGGTCAGACATCATCTCCACTAAAAATGTCATGGTTCTGTGTATATGATATTGAATGTCCAATCAGGGATTCTATAAGATTTTATACATTATCTAATGAGTAATGGATCAGGCAGCAGAGTCATGCATAAGAAAACACGGACAGTTAAATTTTCTGCAAAGCTCATGAGTAAATTTGTTGTACCGTGTATTGATTCTGAGACAGACGAAAACAGCAGATCCCACCGCCAAGAGGTGCAGGTAGGGCAAAACATACACAAGTCAGAGTACATACAAAAGTTAAACTAGTCAAGTCAGTAAAAAACTACTGCTTTGACCTTCTACATGAGTTACACAAAACTGCATCAAGGTGAATTTTCTCTTGTATATGACTGCCGTTTTTCTTCTAACCATTGACATGATCTCATAGTTTACTAGCATTCTTCATACAGCGTTTAGCTTTATCTTATTATGCTCCTATGACAGTTCTTGATTTCCGGCACCTATAGATATTTCCCCTTCCAGAAAACAAAGATCTGCTTCTGAAATCGTTGAGCTAATGGTTGCAGACGTTTTGGTACAGAAGTATTTACCTTGTTACGAAGGACCCATCTAAACAATGTTTCGTAAAGCAGGCCATGTCTGATTTTCTCCCCTGAATGATATCAATTTATCTTGTTCCTGCTAGGTTACCACAAAAGGATACTTGGAAAGAAACATCAACTGAATACCAGCTATTTCAATCTTCCTCGATCCTCAATCATTACACTCGAACAGAACTTATCAAAGAAGGATAGAGACCTGCAAATTGTCAAAATAAATAAGTTTCTTTACAAAGAATTGATCTTTTCAAATTGATTGGACAGTTGCAGGAGGGAAGTTCCACAGAAACATAATGGAAAAGATTGACATACTTTTCGTTTTTTTAATGCAGAGTAAAGTAGACAGCAGCAGGAATACCCTTCCCACTAACTGAACAGAAAAGAAACCATACCACCCACAATAACCAGATTTGACATAAACCAATTTGACCCACGCAGGTGAACCTTATTCCAATACAGCCCATAGTGCAAAATAAAGAACCAGATCATTACTGGAGTTAATCATGTTGGTACCATAATTATACAGCACTGGAATGATACCTAGAGCGGCTACAGGTGACAATTGCAACACAAAAGAACACCTAGGACCAAGATATTTAGGACTGATAACTTCTATGTTATCACTTTTGGATAGGCACGTACAGAGTGGCAACGATTGAATATTACCTTTAACTGTCTGTATAACTGGAAAGATGAGTACTGAAACTCGGAAGGACAAGGTATTCCAGAAAATAAACAGATCAGGAGCTTAGGACCAGTCAATTAACGAGTTCCCTTTTCAAAAATAAAATGAATGAGTTCAAGCAAAACTGTTAAATTATCGTACCTGTGGTATCAGTTTTCTGCAAGCGATAGGAATAAGACATGAACTGACAGTTCACAGATCAAGCCTTGTAATAATTGGTAAAACAAATCTATGGAGTCCTTCCAGACATCCCAACGAATCTCTTATTCTCTGTGGTTAACAAAAGGAAGTGTTAGAATATTTTTAGCCAATAGCCAGTGAAGCTGGCAGTTAGCCAGTTAGTGAACATTTGATGGACCCTTAACCTATATCAATTGTTCATTGAAGGAAGGCAAAGATTTGGAAATGATGTTGACAGAGAAACACTCATTGTGGCTTTCTGGTCCATCTGTGTCACGTAGCAAAAATTTCTATGGACGTGTCCTTTCTCTGGCAAGATGGAAGAGAGAATTCAAAGTTGAATTTGTTCAGGCTTACTTAGAGCAAAACCTTCAGATGTGCATTTCCTTAGTAATTGGCTTAATAGCTCCTCTTGATGTTTCTTTCCTTTTCCCTTTTAATGGGCCTCCAGCCCATGAAACTCCCTTGTACATATTTTCTTTTATTTTATTTAATGGGGGAAAAAAATCCTGTGGGTAACTGACCCCACAGTTTCAGGTCAAAAGTATTTTCATCCCCTTAATAGCCCCAACCAAACAATTGCAAAGCACATAACCCCTTTTATACTCACAGCAATTCGAAAACGCTCTTATATCTTTTACATTGTACACTATGTAGAGAAAACAGGATACAGAAACAAGACTGCTCCTGGACTTTGAGGAGAGTGCACTGAAATTAAATTAAATATATTCACATTGTCCAGTACACAACAAAGAGCATAGGATTACACTTTTTCAGTAGATATAGTAGCATTCAAATGGTTATCGAGCCAGAACATTTTGACCTGGAGAAATATCTGTGTTAGAAGGACAAATAACAAGAAGACTGCAAGCTTAAGCCCATTATCTGCAGAACAAACATAGATTGTACCTTGACAACGAATTGAGGTAATCTCAGGACCTGTCACATCAATGCTTTCATCACTTAGTAATGTAATGCCTGATGATTCAACAACGAATGGAAATGCTACTGCTGGAGACATAGGTGATTTTGCCACCTTGATGAACCTGTGGCCTATGGCAAACGCAATTTATAGTTATTTCATCTGAAATGATAAGATGGATAAATGTGAAATTGCTATTAAGTGACAAAGACTTAACATGATAGCAAACAGGGAGTATTTTAGTAAGCGGAAATGCACATCTTCAGCAACTCGTATAAAGATTTTCCTGTCAGAGCAAGCCTCCTTGATGGAGAAGCGCCTAGGAACCTCGCGTCACACATTTTTGAGCTTGTCATGAGAAAAAACAAAACCGTTGAGCAAGAGATGAGGAACGATGCTTGGATCAGTGCTCTCCGCAACAAGATAACTACCACGGTCCAACTCCAAGAATTTGTTGCTTTATGGATTCGTTTACAAGATGTGAGCTTACAGTCTGAAATGCAAGACACAATCAGCTGGAGGTGGAGCTCGGATGAACAGTACTCCCCACGCTCAGCATATCACATACAATTCAAAGGATCCTACATCAAGTACAATAGCAATCTAATATGGAAGGCACACTCAGAAAATAAGTGCAAACTTTTCACTTGGATACTAATCCAAGACAAGATCCTCACTGTGGACAATTAAAACTTGCGAGGCTGGCCTCAACAGGACGCGCGTGTCTTATGTCATGGACCATTAGAGACACGTTGCCACCTGTGCCTACTCTGCCCCTTTGCCCAAGGGGTTTGGCTACAAGTTGCAGCTTGGGAACATTGCAATGTGGTGCTACCCTCACAATCAAGTGAATGCATAACCATCATTTCTTGGTGGGAGGAAAGAGCGAGAGGATCCCCAAAAGTGCCAGGCGTACCCCCAGCGCCACAGGATGCCGCAACGCCTCAAAAACCATGCCCAAAAGATCAGCAGCGCAAGTTCAACGGTATGGCAATCTATATCATTTGGAACATTTGAAAAGAGCAAAACCAACGCATATTTGAAAACAACTTTCAAACGGCCCAGCAATTGACCAACGTAAGAGGGCTTTTGGATTTGTATTCTAATTAATTTCTAGTTTTCATGTTTGTGTTGGCCCATGGTCTGGTGCAGTGGCGGAACCAGGGATTTTGATTAAGGGGGGCCGGACAAATATGATGACATCTTTAAGTGTGATAAAATATATACAAGTGTATGACTCAATAGCTTTTTAAATATTTTTTCACTATTTATAATCAAAATCACAATATTTTAATAAAAAATTGGTGAATAGTTACTTTGTTATGCTGTAAATTCAAATATTTGTATGGATATTAAACAAATTCTACTGTGCTTAGGGGGGGCAGGGCCCCTGCTGGCCCCTCCCTGGTTCCGCCACTGGTCTGGTGGTGCCAATAGGTTGCTCCCAGAGTGCCTTGAGTGTTTGGGGCTATTTTTTTTTTTTTGAAGGCCACATCCTGTATCGGTATAATTTAGAAGTTCTTTTATATCTTAATTGAAAGGCAAAGCTCCTGCCACTTACGTTCAAAAAAAAAAGAGCAAGACTCCTAAACATAAATGTAATTTTCTTTCATTCTTATTCATATCCTACCATTTTTTACCAAGTGATGTCAAATTTGCCATATTATGATGCAGCACTAAATGTTACTCACTGATTTAGTGCTATGTTGCAAGTAAAAAAATGGGAATGCATTTTTAAAAGTTCCTCGCGCTTAGTTGTGCTTCTGCGCGCTTCAAGCAAACATCAAAACTGAAATCAGATTCTAAGATAAAACTAACATGATGCAATCATAACTAGGCAGCATATCAAACCAGTTGAACTTGAAATATAGAGAAAAAAAAAACACCAAGCATTCATATGATCTTAATAATAGGTACTGATGTGATATGAATTCAAAAATCCAGGTATGAGTGTTGCAAACTTGCGATCCATAAATGGCAGATTAAAAGAGAACATAAGCCCCTTCTGTATTTAGAAAAATATCAGGACAAACCTGAATGAGATTCAAAGACTAGACGGACAGTTACGGCATGAGCCCACTGAATCCCTAGTGCAGCAACAAGATGAGAATCAAACCTTTCAGCACATTTATTACCATCCTTTTTGTCCACTGCAGATGATTTTGACAGATACTTTAGTCAAGTTCGACAAATTGTTTAAAACATAGCTGTTATAGGAAGAAAGTCCAAACCTTCAAAGGAAAAATGGTAACCGTCATCATTACTTTGGCTGCGTACTTGGTTTGTAACCACGACTGGAATTCTTGAGAACTCTGCTATAGACCTACACAAGGAAAAAAGAAAGAGAGGAAATAAAAGGTATGTCAGCAGGATGAATATTGGTAAACTAAAACAATATAGAGAAAGTTCTGTGAGCATTAAGAGACTGGGAGACACACTTAAGAAAAGAAAGAGTCCATCTTAAAGGGTGTTGCCTGAAACCCGCTGTAGCCTTCTCATTCTCCCTGTTACAGACAGGATGTAATAGAGGATTAGTTTTCCATCAACTGATAGCACAACTATTCAGGAACTATAAACTCAGCTTATGTAAAACCTAAAGCCTACACATGTGAAATGCTCCTAAACATAGCCAGCATTGGAGGTGTAGCAAGCAGTGAGATGGCACAGAAACTAGTCAATTACATAGCAGCCATGGCTCTTGTTTTGCTACAAAAATAGCAGTTTGGACATTATGCTATTATATAGTCAAACATACTTCAATCTGAAATTGGATATTTTGATGATCTGGTTGCCAGCAAAAGAAGATACTTATATATGTAGAATAGTGTCTACAAGAATACACTTCAACCTTTTAAAATATACAGCAAGTTATTTGCAAACTAGACTAAGGAATTCCATGTCCATAGCTTACAGAGACATAAGAGCAGCCATGCTATCAACAATGAGTAACTTCACATCATGCTGAAGAAGAGTCACCTTCATCTCTTCCAAACTGTAGAAAGACAGTAAAGAGTGTTAGCATAACATGTCGAGTTTAGTGAGGAGCATAAACCTAAAGCACAAGATCTAAACTATGATGGCATGAGAGTGGGCAGAAGACAAGCATTCTGAATTTTCAACAGCATGGTACTAGAATTTCAAAGATACTTTAAGGAACTTTCGGTCCTCCATGCGCCTAAGAACTAAAATACTCAAAATATCAGTCTATATTTTGCAAATAAAGGAAAGAGCGCTGGTAATGAAGTTTACTGATTTCAAGAACAGCTATACCTCTTGGTAAAATCAGCTAAAGATGTTGGTCGCGTTACTAGGATCCTCCCAGCCATCTGCAAAAATAAACAAAGGATATGAAACAACAGGCAAGACTTCAGGATTGTGAGAACAGTACTACAATAACTGAAAGAAATATTAGCAAGGTTCCCTAGCATTGTTTCTTGGTGAGGTTCCCAAGTATAATCATGTGGAGTATGAGAACCTTTTGTGCCAAGCCTTCTTGTCGAAATATTTGAGGAAAACTTTTCTGACCAATCTCAATCATCCTGCAACATATCAACAGCAACATGAGAAGTTCGACTAAAGAAAAATTATTAAAGTATACTTGGGAGTAGTAAACAGTAGTCATTAACTTCAGCTACCTCCGCGAAGAGAACTTGAATTCCGTGTCAATATACACAACTCGACCATCTAAACCTCCATAATATTCTGGTAAAGCTGCTAACAACGCAAGCTTCAGGCAGAACTGCAGTGTGCAAAACCATAACAACAAAAAAATTAAAAAAAAACATACAAGACAAGCAACACGATGAGATAATGCACAATAAAGTTAGCACAAAATGTTCTGGCTCCATAACCGTTTGGCTCGACAAAATGGCAACTGATCAGTGGACTCAATCAAGATGCCCAGGATCATTGGAATCAGAATCAAAACATGCAGGCGCATGATGCGGCATCCCATGAAGCATATACACAAGGTACATTTCCTTCCGGTTCTGTATTGCATACCAAGCTCATGGAGACGCATAGCATGTAGGTACATATTCACAAACACCTGGCGCCCACACGCGTACAGGTGAATCCGTGCATCCACAGCACCCTACGAGGTGCGCAAATTAAGCGTGAATCTCCGAGATCAGCAGCTCACCTGGGTCTTGCCGATCCCCGAGGGCCCAACGACCTCAGTGAGCTTTCCCATGGGGATTCCTCCGCCCAATGCCTCGTCCAACCCGCAGAGCGTGGTGGCCAGCCGGCCGCCGCCTCCTAACCTGACGCGCTCCTCCAGAAGTGCGAGCGCCTGCGCAGCGCCAGGGCAGGTCAATGCAGTGCAAACCCTAACCCAGAGTCACAGACTACAACCCCAAATCGACCACTGAGTCGAAACCCCACCAAATCCGAGGCAGGGGCGCAAGCGGAGCACAGGTGGGTGAGAGGGTACCGTCTGGCAGGGCGGGCAGGCGGCCTCGCTGACGAGGGCGACGGCCGCGCGTGCGGTTGGGAGGCCGGCGTCGAGGATGACCATGAGCTCCACCTCCGGCAGCGACAGCACGTCCTGGATAGGGACAGAGCGCAGGCCCGAGGCGCGCGCGGTTAGGAGTGGCGGCGGCAGCAATGGAGATGGAATCGAGAGGCTGACCTTGGCGGTGTCGAGGCGGCGCGCGGCGAGGAGGTGGGCGAGGTGGGGAGGAAGCCGCATCTCCGATACCGGCATGTTCGCCATCGCGATCACCGAGAGAGGGGCTCGAGGCGGCGGAACACGACGGCGACGAGGAGGGGTTTTGCCGTTTGGGGGGAATTGGGTTTTGAAATGTTTTGTTTGCGCGCTTCTTGCTATCAGTCTACCACAGTCCACAGCTGCCCAAGCGGATTTTTGCCTTATTTGCAACACAGAAATTTTATAATATACTCTCACCGTTCTAAATTATAAGATGTTTTGTTTTTCTAGATACGTCGCATTTGCTAATAAAATCAATATATGTAGAAAAATCAAAACGTCTTATAATTTGGGACGGATTTAGTACATGAATTGACTTAGGATTTATAGAAAAATAACTTCCATGTTCCAAATAGTTGGTGGCTTGTCTTTTTAAAACTAGGGATGGCAATTCGACTCGTGGGGTACCTACTGCACGCTTCATATCCGAAGGGTCCGGATACAGATATATGGGTTGGATGCCCACTATAAGAGACCAGTAAGGTGCTACTCCATCTATTTTAAATTACAAGATGTTTTTACTTTTCTAAATATATTATTCTTATTATGTATCTAAACATGCTATATATATCTCTCTAAATACATATTAAAACTTATGTATCTAAAAAGCTAAAATACTTTAGAATTTAGAATGGAGGGAGTAGTATTTAAATATACCCACGTGTAACTACTAGGTACCTGAGATACATTGAGGTTGAGTAAGTATGTGAACTATGAAGATGGTTTAAACGGGCTCGAAATGGCATACTTCATGTGTTTTTAAAAATCATGCTCCATATTACGATGTCTAACTAAGAAAAAACATAGAACATGATTTTTTTTAAAAAAAAATATGAAGCTGGTTTCATATTTTTTTAGGTTATAAGAAAAACATAGAGCATGATTTTAGAAAAAAATGGTTTCATATTTTTTGAGTCATAAAACAATTTTCTATGCATTTTCAAATGTTAGTTAGATATTAATATTTGTAAATGTACATTTATTATAGAAAAATATTTGGGTTATTTTAAAAAACATATTTCTATAGTTTTTTTAAAAGTCTGAGTGACCTCCTTAAATTATCGTGAAAGTCCAATTTACCTTTTTCATGGTTTACATGGTGCTACATAGAACAACTGACATAGCACTACATACGCTCAAGGAGATAAATCCGATAGTTTTCAAAGATTTTTTTTAGTGGAATGGTTTTAAAAGATGGAGTTTATAATCCAGTTTTAAGACAAATCGAGCTCACGCAACATAATAATTGAGGAGGTTAGATCTTAGATGGACCTTTTTCTCCTTGGCCCGTGTGTGCGCTAAAAGGCCTGTTTACTGCTGGGCCAGTCTACGCGCGGCATCTAGGCGTTTAGATCTTAGATTTATTTATATTTAACAAGCATAAACCTAAATAAAATATATAACTAAGTTATATATGATCCTATGAGTATGAAATTTTTATTATAGTTTAAGCATACAATAATTAGCCCACCATAAAAATTTCATCACAATTAGACTATAGAAACTGCAGCTATAAATTATTCTATTTAATTACAAAAAAGAATAAATCTAAAATTACAGCAAAAACTTTTTACTAAAACATACCGTATTATATATTCACTGGAGTCCAACAAAATTAAATTTTTTATTTTATAATTTTTCTGTGATTTATTCTGATTTTTAAAGATTTAGCCGAAATAAATAAAAAGAAAAAGACAAAACCGTCTTTAAAACTGCTTATAACAGGATCACGGAGGTAAGATGAACGGTTTTAAAAGTTGAGGAAGGTGTTTTGCCTGATTTTGGAGTTCAGGGAGAAAAAATGGACTTTTGCGAAAGTTAAGAGAGGTAATGTGGACTTTTTCCACGTCGAGATAATAAAAGATAATGGGCCGAGATTGTACGGTGGACTAGACTGCGAAGCCACATAGGAGGCTCGCGTATTAGAAAAAAAAAAAAAAAAAAAAAAGAAAAAAGAAGGAAGCTCGCGTCTTCTCTATCCCCAGTCCAATTCCGCCGGCCGGCTCCCTCCATTTCAAATTCCATACCCGTTCCATTCGATCCCCTTCTCCGGTTCCGGCTCCTCCTCCACGCAACCCGTCGCCGTCTTCTTAGTCTCGCACAACCTCGCCCCACCATTCGCCACGCCCGCCTGCGATGGCGACGCGCGAGGAGTGGAGCATGTCCGACTTCGAGATCGGCAAGTACATCGGCGAGGGCAAGTTCGGCAAGGTGTACCTCGCCCGCGAGAAGCAGGTCGGCCCGATCAACTCGTACTCTCCAATTCTCTCGATTCCCCTAAAATTTCGCCTCCAATGGAAGTTCATCTACGCGTGGCGATGATGATCCAGAGCGGGTACGTGGTGGCGCTGAAGGTGATATTCAAGGTGAAGCTGGAGAAGTACCGCTTCCACGCGCACCTGCGGAGGGAGATCGAGATCCAGCGCGACCTCGACCACCCCAACGTGCTCCGCCTCTTCGCCTGGTTCCACGACGAAGAGAAAGTCGTCCTCGTCCTCGAGTACGCGGCCCGTGGCGAGCTCTACAAGGTCCTTCGCGCCGCTGGCCGCTTCGACGAGCGCACGGCCGCCACAGTAAGAACCCCCCTCCCCGTTTCCCTTTTGGTTCACTGTTATTTCCCGGTTGTGTCTACGGTTGGACTGCCGTTCCTCCTACTATTGTTGACCTAAATTATGTTAACCTGAACCATAATAGTCGAGGCAAAGTCCCTTGTTACTGCAATGGGTGTGATATTTTTTTAGGGGGAAAATACAGTGGGGACTGAGGAGCCCACTACTGTTACTTGATTAAAACAAAACTAGGATGAAAAAAGACAGAGGAGAGAGAGGGAGAGGTAGAGGGAAAGGGAAAGCTAGAGGGAGAGAGAGAATTGTACAAACAAAGTTTCTGAGAACTAGGCTGCTAGCCCGTGAGCCTGAGTAGGTCTATGGTTGGCAATTGTATGATATTATTTGCACTAAGTCATGAATGGTAGCAAGAAAGTCTTGGTAATGGCCCAACTTGATTTTACTTGTATCATATATCATGTATGATTATGACACAATGAGTCATTAATTGATGGTACACTCTGTGGAACGGTTACAAGTTAAAGTTACAGCTCATTAAAAGGTGTCTGACGTTGAAAATAATTTGATATTTGAAAATTTTAGTGCCATTTTATAAGCTTCCAAAATGATATTTGGATTTTACGGATCTTTGCATTATCTGATTGCAGTATTAAGTATTCTTTAGAAACTCTAATGCATTTCCAAGAAATGCAAGGCAAAGGATCAATCCAATTTTACAAGTTAAGCTGAACCAATTTTTTATATGAACTGCTATCCATGTGTTGCACATGCAGTGCACTCTACAGTTTATGACTTTATTCCCCTGAACCCAGACATTTATACACAAAACAATGTGAGAAATTCATGGCATCTCTTTTAGCATGACACTGTCTCAGGCTCTCAGCCTCAACTTGTCATGATGCCATTAATGGCCAAGAACTTGTGCTGGCATTGACATACCACGCTCTAGAGCATAATATACATATGCAGCTTTCCTTCTGATTTGCCATTCTTTTGTTAAATTGTGACACCAATTAATCTTATGTGTTTTAGTATGTCGCGAGCCTTGCTGGTGCACTGGCATACTGCCACAAGAAGGGAATCATACATAGGGACATCAAGCCTGAGAATTTGCTGCTCGATCTCGAGGTTGGTTCTTCTTCTTTTATGAAGCTGTTGCGGCTGTTATTATTTCTAGCACCATATGTGATTTATGCGTTTATTCTGGTATTATTTATCGTTGGCTGTTGCAAGCAAATTTATCTGTGCCTGTCTTTGTAGTTTTACTGTTTTCGTGTTGTTGTAATTTTGCTTACCAGATGGTCTTATTCTACACAAAACAGATTCTAACATGATCATTACTGTAATACTTTGCTCAAGGGTAGGGCCCGTAGTGTTTGCTCCATTTCGTTATAATTTTAATAGGCTGATGGTCTTGTTTCTGCATATAATAGGATCTAATAGAACCATTGCTTTAAGTTTGCTCAAGAATCCAATCTACAGCTGATCTCATTGGTTGGAAATTTTTTTCTCAAAATGTTTTGCTCAAGAATCCAATTTACAATGCAGACAGTAAGACTTGGCTCTTTGTAAGTGTCAAAACGGAAACGTTGTCTAGGAAGGACAATTCATAGACAACATTAAAATATGGAATCAAGTTAGATTGCTGCGCAGATGATCTAGCTACCATTGAGGCATGGTGCCCCGCCTGGGCTGAAATGCTAGGAAAAGAAGGGTTTTTTTAGAGTTCAAGGGCCAAAACGCCCCGGCCTTCCAACTAATAGCCAAAAGACCAAATAGGAAAAGAAGGGTTTCAAGTGTGTTCCCATGCGTTTACTTCAAATACTTAGTCCATGTGCTTGCTCTTTCCCTGTTTCTTTTTTCTTCTTGTAAAACTGCTGAACCTGAGCTTAGAACAAACTCTCAGGAATGAATGAATGAATCAATCAATCAATGCACTTTATACATGTACGAAGCAGATGATATTTGTCGTTACATCTCGATATGGGTGTCACACCTGGATAGGATATATATCATGTCTCTATGAATGAATTTGGAAACACATATTTTTGCTGATTCACTGACATATGTGGAGAAATGGTTCTACAAATGCTTCTTCAATGCCTCAGTATTTCTGAAGAACTGCTATTGTCGTGATGGGTATTTTACTCTTTTATTGATGCATCAAATGCTAGGCGGTGATTTGACAACTAGCTAACTTCCCTTTACTCCAGGGCCGGCTTAAAATTGCAGATTTTGGATGGGCAGCTCGCTCGAATGCTAAACGACACACACTCTGCGGCACAATCGACTATCTGGCACCAGAGATGGTAGAGAAGAAAGCTCATGACCATGCCGTGGACAACTGGACCCTGGGAATCCTGTGCTACGAGTTCTTGTATGGTTCACCTCCTTTTGAAGCCGACGAACAGTATGATACCTTGAGAAGGTATGGTGGGGCTGAAGCGTCTGTTTTTCTTTTCTCCCTCGTATCCATTCCTTAACATTTTGTGCGCCACTGCCACATGAATTTTGTGCAGGATAGTTACGGTGGATTGGGCGTTCCCTTCAACTCCTCGTGTGTCTTCAGAGGCGAAGGATCTCATTTCCAAGGTGGCATCTAAAAGTAGTGATTATATTATATAGGAGATTAATAAATTTAAATGGCTGTGGGCTGGACTATGACTTTTTTGGTGTGATTGAGTGCAGCTGCTAGTTAAGGATTCAAGCAAGAGGCTTTGTCTTGAAGACATCATAAAGCACCCGTGGATCCAAAAGAATGCAGAACCTTCAGGGAGTTGCATCAAGCACAAAGATGTAACAAGAGCAAAGGTGAACGATAAATGAATATGCAAGATATCTTCTGAGCAACACGTTAGTCCTGGGTAAACAGATTGAAATTTTGGTACGTAGCGACTTGTGGCTGTATATATTGTCGTAGTAAGTATATTGTTGGACGTGCATGGATCGTAATATCTCGTAGTACGATATAGCACTTGACTACTTGAGTTGTCAATATTTTCCGTGTTATATACATTTGTTCCATTGCTAAGACCTTGTTTCTAGTTTGGTGCGTGCCGCACCTGCTCGCATAAAGCAAATCAATCAACTAGCGGCACCTTCCCTAGCTTTATGGGTTGAATCCGGCGATGGCAACACCGCAACACAGGGCTATCTACGAAGAAAATTGGATAAAAGAAATCCACCCATTCCATACTACAGCGTCAGCGGGCGGCGGCCCCACGGCCCGCGCTGGCGAGCTCCTGCGACGGCGAATCGATGCGGGCGCCTTGGATGACTTCCTACGGTGCAGCGCTCGCCGCTCGGCAAATCGGCAACCGGCGGCAAGACACAGGCCTCGTGGGGTACCACGGCGCCTCGCACCCGTGGCGCGGGAGCGGGACCTCGAGGGCGAGGCAGCGTGTCGTCGGCAAATCGGCGTGGGCGCGCCGGCGGTGCGCGGTCCCCTCTTCGTCTCATGTCGACGTTTCCATGGGACGGTGGAGCTGTTTCTTTTTTTTATTGCCTCAACATTCGACTACAAGTTGTAGTAGTATTTGAACTCACCTATCAACTCACATCGTAGACATACACCCTAACACACTTACATCTTTAATGCGTAAACTAGACCTACAACTCATATTTAAGGCTAAGATAACACGGCTGAAAGATATAATAGTGGTGGCTTATAACTAAAATTAATATGGAATAAATCCCCTGAGGTGAGGCACCCCAACCCGGGTGGGGCTGTTTCAGTCCACACAAAAATACCCCCCGACGTGGCACGTGCCCGCACGGACTCAGCCGCGTGCGCTCGAGCCGGTCGGATACGGATCCGTGCGACGAGACGAGCCAGCCACCCGCAGGCAGAGCCGGAGGCGTCACGTACTCCCGTGCGGGGCCGGGCCGTGGCGTGGCGTGACTCTGCCCTGCCACGCCCCTGTCCGGTCTCTCGGGCGGGGGGTCCCATGCATGCACCGCGCCGCACCGCATCGGAGTCCGGGTCCGCCGTCCTTCCCCCTCGCTCGCCGCCGAGATATAAGCCTTCGACCCGTACCCTACCCGCGTTACCGCCAACCAACTAACGGCACGAGTCCGCGGCGCACGCGCGCGCCCACGAACGAACGATCGCACCGACCGATCGCCCACGCGCGCCCTAGCTCCAGCCGCCGCCGCCGCTGCCATCGGCGGGTAGGCACCTGCGACCTGCTGCCGCCGTGCCGCCGCTAGCTACTCTACTAGCGTAGTAGTCCCGATCCTACCCAGGGGCGCGCGCGCGTCCGTCTCGCCATGGACGCGGGCGACGACGCGGTGCTGCAGTACGCGCTGGCGGCGATCGCCGACGACTCCGCGGGCGCGGGGGAGGCGGCGGCGGCGCTGGCCGCGCTCTGCGACGTGCTCGCCGTGTCGGGGCCGGACTTCATCCTCGCCATCCCGCACGCGGGCCTCGCCGCGCGCCTCCCGGCCCTCCTCGCCGGCTCCGGCTCCGACGGCGGCGGCGACGTGCCGCTGCTCGCCGCGCGCGCCATCGCCGAGGCCTGCGAGGCCGCGCCCCAGTGGGCCTCGCGATTCGCGCGACACGGCGCCGTCGAGGCGCTCCGCGACAGGCTCCTCGCCGTCGACTGCATCGAACTCGCCGAGGAGGTTGGTTGCCGCCGCCGCTGCGCTCTTTTTCGTCTCTTTCCTTTTCACCTCGTGCCGTCCCGTCGTACTAAACCCCATTAATCCTCAGCTGGATAAACCTAAACCTCCCACCCATACTGCTTAAACCCTGTCTGCTTGTCTTGATCGTAATAACACTGCTCTTAATTAAGGTTGCTCGTCTAAATTAGTCGTACCGATCCATTAATGCCAGTGTCGTGGGCTGTGATTAATCTGTTGCCAGTCGGTTTCCATCTATATATGGCTTTCTAGGCCGTGTTGTCAGTTAGTCACGCCGGCTAACCAGCTCTGAGCCTCTCTTTGTTCATTCGTGGAGACTGCAATTAACATTGACAAGATTTGTTCCACGATCCTGTCATGTTGTGCAGTGGTCAGATTTCAAATTAAAATTGACTGGACGGTGGTAGGTAGGTGGTTTGCACACACTCCAGTTCACTAAAGCCATAGTAAAATTGCTCGTGTATCGCAGTGGGCATAAAACTGCAGTTGGGTCTTGGGTGTGACCTGATGAAAAACAGTGGTGTGACCTGATGAAAAACAGGATGGTGTGTGCACTAAGTTTGGGTTCCTTTACTACTCTCTTTTGCACAAGTGCAGGTGCATATATTTGTTTATATATTTGGTTAAATTCAACTCCTTGTGTTGTAATAAGTGTCCTTCTACCTTCGCTTGCTGTTCTTATTTTGGCAAGTTGGTGCTAAAAGACATCTCTCTTTGCTTTCGCTTTGGCAGTGCTTGCGAGCTCTGGACGCCATATCTTTGGAATGCCCTGACCAGTGCCTCAGACGGGGGGTGGCAGCTGCTGTGCTGCAGTTCTTCGACTTCTTTTCGACGAACAAGCAGGTAATGGCACATGAGCGAATGTTTTGTGGCCTGATCTGCTTCTCACATGAGCGAATGTTTTGTGGCTTGATCTGCTTCTGCACTGTTCCTTCTCTGCCTTCATATGTCCTGTGCTCACCAACTGTTTGTGGATATGCCTACAGAAAGTGGCGCTCCAGATCGTCTCGAACATCTTCACCGATTATGATGAAGTGAATGCGCCTAAGGCCATGGAGGCTGTGCCTGCACTGTGCAACCTCCTGCAGTATTCTGATAGGATGGTAAGTAGGATTAATATATTGCTGGTTTCCTTGTTCGTTTCTTTTATATGGGAAAATATATTGATGGGCCGTTGATCTTTGTGGATGCTAGATTCTCGAATCCGCTATTTCATGCTTGGCATTGGTTGCTGCTGGTGCTTCTGGAAATGCTAAACACATGAGTAAGCTCTGTGAATCGAATGTGGTCGAGGTAACAATGACCTTGATGGATAATGAGGGGTGGAAGAGCCTCAGTGATGCCACCTTAACTGTATGTCTCATCACCCTTCCCTGAATTCGTTGTTATCTTTTAGCTTTCTTGGAACCTGAGGACTCAATCGAACATGTTTGACAGGGCATCCTGGGGCTGCTTAAAAGTCTTGTTGCTGTCTCCGCAAAGGCTGTGAAGTCTCTTTTTGAGTTTAATTTTTGTGAATTGCTCAAGCAGATGATAACTTATTACAGTTACTTGCACCATGATAGTGATAAGGTACTCTACTTCTTCTCTTTGTATTACTTAGTGCAATTTTGTGGTCATGCGCCTGTGATTGAGGTGCCTTAACTCCCGCCTAACGTGCCAAGTTCCATGCGGGAATGTTAACATCATGTGTCACATATTTATATTAAAAAAATAAATCAGAGTATACTTGCATTTACTTTTAGAGAGTGCACAAAGGGCAGCCCTTTTACATTCAAGCCACCAGTAGACTTCTGTGATATCACAAGATAGTAGATATGTGGATGCCATCTACATGCATGTTATGAAGCACCTGCAAACATCTTGGTGAATCTCTTGACAGTTGACATTATTCAATTCCCAACTGCAGGTCCAGATTCTTGTGGAGCTCATTTACCAGCTTATGCCACCTCTTGAAACCTCTGGTCAACATGCTAAACTAGTCACTGCAAAGAGGAAACTCATTATGAGACAAAGTCGATACATGAACCAGCTTGCTAGCATCGTCGCCCTTATAGTACAGGTACGAGGTATCTTTTCAGGTCCCCTCTACGGGAGGACCTCTGGGTGCCTGCAGAAGTCCAGAATTTCCCTTAACATGTGCACTTCTTTTGTCCAATGTAGGTTGCAAAATCTGCTGCGCTATCATCAATTTGCTACAGATGTGTTGTTGTCATTGGCAAGATTGTTGAATTAAGCACACCTAATTTCCTAATGGAGTTACAGAAGACTGTAAATCTCTCAAGGTAAATTTCTACAAAATTTATTTTTTCCTTTAGTAAGATTTTGAGCTTTGAAATTTGCTGCCTTGTCACCATGCATGATGTTCATGTTTATCTCTCATCTTTGTATCAGCTTTCTTAATTGTTTGTTGGCCCGGAAAAACCAACACATCTTATTCGAAACACTCAAGATTTCAAGGACCCTTTTGGAAAAAGACCAGCGCTTTTCCTTGGAGACCTTGACCAAGGAGGGTGTAAAGCATGCAATTGAGTATATAGTATCACAATCAAAAAACATCAGTCACCAGTCAGAAAGAAACAACAGCGTGAAAGAAAGTTGCCTTTGCTTTGACCTGGAATCTTCCTCGACTGTTGAGGCATGCAGCATTGAGAATGATGCTGTCATGGAACTAGCAGAAGAGATAAAGAAAAACTTCTTCTCGGTAAAACGGAGCAAAAAATCTCCACATAGGTTTGGATTTACTCTCAAAAGTGTCAGGGACTTTTTTGCTAGGTTGAATGTATATGCCTTGACACACCCTGCTGAAAATCCTGATAGCTGCAAGCAGTTGTCTGATCTTTCAAGGAGCTTATTATCAGATGAACTGCTAGTTACTTCCACTTTTGAGTTTGTGCAGAGTGGGTCTATCAAATGTTTTGCAGTTTATCTCTCAAACGGGGCATACTGCAATGCAGACCTCAATGATGGACCTGTACTTGAGCAGCTTAGTAAGGTGCAGAGTCAGCTGCAGAAATTTGCTAATTTGGCTCTCACCCTCTCCAATGAAAGTTCAGCAAATCCACTTGGGATTTTGGTGGAGAAGCTGCTAGACACTTTGCACATGTGCTATGACAGTTTTCCTGTAATGCTATCTGATGAACAGATTTCACGAGAGAGCATGATGATTCCGCTGAGATATCCTGAGGCCCAGAAACCAACGTCATTGGAATTAAAATTTCGGAGGTCGCAGAAGGAGAGAGAATTACGCAACTACAATGGTGTTCTTAGTGTCGACCTTTTCTCAACACCTGATACCACTGAGCCAATTCTATTTCGTGAGGTCTTTAGAAGAACTGATCAGGAACCTGCATCCAAGGTATTCATCAATACACAGTTGCTCAAAATATAAGTACCTCAATGTTAATGCAAAAAATGGGCTAATTCTCTTGAACTTGAATTATTCCCTTCTAAGTTTCTCTTGAAATTATCCCATACCAATGCAGTTTACATACATGCATATAATCATATCCATTTAACAATTCCCACTTGTTTCTATGATTGCAGAATTCCAATCAAGAGAAAGGAGCAAATGGGAGCAGAAAATCAGTAGAGTCCAAAAATGGTATACACCCTCTTCTCTCTTTAATGTCTCATTGCCTCTTGCTTTCCTTATTCTGTTAGTCTTGCTTAAATAAAGTAACACCCGCATATCTTCCAGATGATGGGAACACATCCTCAAGACTGAGATTCTTGTACAATGGCGTGACACTCCAACCATCTGTTACATTTTTTGAGTCGATCCTTCGTCTGATGAACAAGGGACAATCTGATCTCTTGATCGACCCATCTTTCTGGGAAGAAGAACACAACATAACCTATAGGAAAAGAAACAAAAGCAAGGAGATCTCTTCTCAGAGTTCCTACTATACTCAGTTATCGTACGTGCAAGAAAACCTTCAACGCGCATGGTCAAAGGACCCTTTTTTCACTGCCCTACTTCATGGCAAACTTCCTGGTGATCTGGATGTGTCTGATCTGTCATACAATCTTTTATTCATGCTGAAAGTTCTTGAAGGGCTGAACCGTTTTTCATACCAACTGTTGATGGATGAACAGATAAACAAATTTGCTGAAGGAACTCTACAAGATATGGATCTTGAGGTGGCAAGATATGCAGTTCCAAGACATCAGTTCATCAGTAGCCTTCTCGCAAATAAGCTAGAGGTGCAAATGCAAGATGCCTTGTTTGAGGATGGCCTCATACCCTCATGGTGTGTCTATCTGGTTGAGACCTGCCCATTCCTGTTGTCCTTCGACACACGGTGGAAGTACTTCTGCCTGACTGTGCATCGCTCATTCATTCCGGACCAAGTTAACAGTTCTCCAGAACAGGTTCACAATATTTTAAACCAAGTTACTGGTCACTCGGACCAGGTTAAGAGTCCTCCACAAAGTAAAAGGTACAGGGTAGCCCGAAGTGCTATCCTTGAAGGTGCTGTATCAGTGATGACCAGTCATGGCTCAAGCAGTAGGATCATTGAGGTGGAGTTCGAAGGAGAGGTTGGGACTGGGCGAGGTCCATCATTTGAATTCTACACTACAGCTAGTCATGAACTTCAAAGGACCGGGCTTGGAATGTGGAGAGGAGACAGTGGTGAACATGGATTCATTCATGCTCCTTTTGGACTATTTCCAAAGCCGTGGTCATCATCAGGCACTTCATCACAAGGAGTTGATTTTACTAATATGCTACAAAAATTCAAGCTTTTAGGGAATCTTGTAGCGAGAGCAGTTCTAGATGGAAGGATCCTGGATATTCCACTTTCTAAAGCATTTTACAAGGTCATGCTTGAGCAGGTAATTCTTTCAGCAATCACCATGCTATGACCCTTCTGATTCCCAATTTCTGATTCTGAACTTCTCCTTTGTTCTAATCACTGTATTTTTGGACTTAGGAGCTCGATATATATGACATCCCACTGTTTGATCCTGAGCTGGGCAAGACAGTAATAGAGTTTCAAGCACTTGTTAGCAGGAAGAAATTTTTGGAAACCTCTTCCAGAGCATCTAACCCTAAGGCTGATTTGTCCTTTAAAAACGTGAAATTGGAGGATTTGTGCCTTGACTTCACTCTTCCTGGAAATCCTGAATATGAACTTGTTACTGGAAGCTCAGAGAAGTTAGTAACACTTGACAGTTTAGATGAATATGTATCTTTGGTTGTTGATGCAACACTGAAGAGCGGGATTGCCAAGCAGATCGAGGCTTTCAAGTCTGGAATTAATGAGGTCTGTTTCTCATGGAATAGAGCTAAATGAGTTTCTCTCTCCTATGCAAACAGCAAATACTAATTTAGGTCTACCACTTGCAGGTTTTTGCTCTTAAGGCCCTCAAAATGTTTACAGAGGAGGAAATGGAACGCATACTATGTGGTGAACAGGATGCTTGGGCTGTACGTGTCTTTCTGTACTCCCAAAGTCTTGTGCAAACAGGATCCTTTCATTGTTCTAATTGTGTTTACCTTTTGTAGTTAAAGAACCTTGAGGATCACATGGAGTTTGAGCATGGCTACGATATGAGAAGTCAACCGATTATTATTGTAAGTATTATGCCTATCAGACTTTGTATTCCTTGAACTCTAACCAACTAATTAAGAGCTCAACTGTAACAACTTGCAGTTCCTGGAGATATTGCGAGAGTTTGGAAGAGAGGATCAGCGGGCTTTCATACAATTCAGTACTGGAGCCCCTCAGCTCCCGCTTGGTGGCCTAGCTTCGCTTGATCCCAAGCTCAATGTCGTACGCAAGGTTTGTCAGCCTAGCAAATTATACCATTAGGGCACAAACCTATTCTTTTGATGAATACTTATCTGCCATGCATCTTGCTTGACAGCAATGCGATGGCAATGTAGACGACGAATTGCCAAGTGTCAATACCTGCCGGCACTTTATCAAGCTCCCTCCTTACTCCTCGAAGGTAACACAAAAATGCGCCCCGTTCGCTTAGCTTATAAGTCGTACTTTTTCATTCAACGAACAATATTTTTCTTTCACAACAAATCAACCAACAGTACTTTCAGCCATAGCTTATCAGCCAAGCGAACAGGGCGATATCAGTTTAGTAATCTGTTTCGTTTTCATGAAGATGAAAAACTGAGACCTATTTGTCGTTGGTATCTGTTTCTTGATCGCAGGAGATAATGAGAACGAAGCTCAAATATGCCATTACAGAGGGTCTAGGCTCCTTCCACTTATCATGATAACAAGACAGAAGTGCACAGGATGATGGAAGAACAGTGTACATTATGAAGGGGTAGATAGCAACTGATTATTGGTGATTTATTAGAATCACACGACAGATCTAGACTTGATGTGAATAGCCATTAGACATCTCTATATTCTGATTTAGTTATTTTTTTGAACTAAAATTTATCTATTTTTCTGGTTGGGGATCGGATTAGTTGGTAGAGACGGAGAGTTTTCTCCCCTCGTATGTACTTGTATGTATAAAACTACTGCGTCGAACGCCCTTCTGTTTTCATCTCTGTTTTTTAATGATTTTTTTTTTGAACGTACTGGCAGGAGCTCTGCCTTTCAATTAAGATGGGATAAGAAAGTTTATGTACAAGCAAAGGTAACTAGGTTATAGTCCCCCCCCCCCCTTAAGCATGCGAGCTAAATGTAATCGAATGCTCTCTTCCTTTGCTCAATGTCTTCCTTAATCCTTGCGGCTACCTGCAGCACCGTTTGACTCATATTGTCGAAAATTCTCCTGTTTCTCTCTTTCCATATATTCCAAAAGGTGTAGATAGCTACTCCGTTAAGCCTACGACGCTCCGCTCTTGGCGCTTTTGCCGCCGCGTCTTCCCACCATGACTTGATATTGGTGGGGTTTGCATTTTGCTGTTGTTGGATTTGAGTGAAGTTTTCCCATGTGAGGATTTGATTCCAAACCGCCTTTGCAAAAGGGCAACTAAGGCATAGGTGGAGGCTTGTCTCTAAAGGTTAATTGCACATCATCACGACTGTTGTTGGTGAGGCCACCCTCTTTTTGTAGGTTTTGTGCCGTTAGAATTTTGTCTTGTACTAAGATCCATGCGAAGATCTTGCATCTGTTCTCCACATGCGCTTTCCAAATCAAGTCCGCATCAGAGTGGAGGAGCGAGCCTCTGAATTGTATTCTCAGAGGCCGATCGGGTGGAGTAATTCCCATCATTGGTCCAACGCCAGTGATGGTGTCCTGGGACGCCTGTTGTGTGTGCACATCCAGTATGCGATCCAGAGGGACACAAACTCCTCTATGTGGATAGGCGAGGTGATTTTCCTTCCAAGTTTATGCATCCAATTATTGTTTGAGCTCTTGCTGCACTGCTCGGGTTTGTCCTTGAGAGCAAAGCGGAATAAGTTGGGGGCTAGGTACTTGGGAGCTTGATCATCGAGCCAACCGTGGTGCCAAAACTTTGTCTTTGCACCATCCCCCAAGGAAATAATGATTGAGGAGTTGAAGAGAAGGCGGTCATCCTCATTACATGGAAGCTCTGAGCCGCTCCAAGATTTGGAGTCGTCCACCCAGTCTTGCCATAGCCATCGTAAACGGAGGGCTCGCCCAAATCTTTCAAGGTCCGGGACCCCTAAACCTCCCATGTCTTTCGGCCTGGTAACCGTTTGCCAGTTAACTAGACAGTGGCCGCCATTTGCATTGTCGTCCCCCTTCCACAAGAAAGATCTCCTGATTTTGTCTATCTTTTTCTTAGCCCAAGCGGCTAGAGGAAACACTGTCAGGTGGTATGTTGGCATGGAGGATAGGACAGAGGTTACAAGAGTGAGGCGCCCCGCTCTGTTTAGTAGTCTTCCTTTCCATTTGGGTAGTCTTTGCCCAATACGGTCTATGAGAGGTTGCACGTGGACCCTTTGCAGTGTTCTAATGTGTAGTTGAAGGCCCAAATATTTGCATGGGAATCCCCCTCTAGTGCCGGTGAAAGGTGCCAGGACTTGGTCTAGGTCCACGTTTGTACAACTAATAGGATGTACTGAGCTCTTTTGTAGGTTAATATGAAGTCCGGAGAATGTGCCAAAAGCCTGCAGGATGATTTTGACGGCGTCCACATCGTCGTACGTGGGGTTGACGAAAATGGCCGCGTCATCCGCATACATTGAGGTTCTCCATTTTGCCGCCGTGATTGGTAATGGGGTGAGTATCCCCTGTTGGGTTGCCAGGTCAAGTAACTGCTGAAGCGGGTCCATGGCTAGGATGAAAAGCATGGGGGAAAGTGGATCCCCTTGGCGGACGCCTCTGGCATGGCTAAAAGTGGCCCCCCGTCTTCCGTTCAGGATGGGTGTCAAGTGGATGTACGTGGGAGGATGGAGATCCACTCACGCCATCGTTGTCCGAAGCCCAGAGCTCAAGAGTCTCAAGCAAGTACCCCAATGCACCGTGTCAAAGGCTTTATGGATGTCAAGCTTCATGAACAAAGCCGGAAGCTTATGCTTGTGTAGTCTTTTACCGCTACGGACGCATGTAAAATTATCATGGATGCTTCGTGTTTTATAAAAAGCGCTCTGGCGTTCGAAACAAGGTAGTTGAGTCGAGGGCAAGTCCGTTAGCTAACACTTTGGAGAAGATCTTTGCAATGGCATGGACTAAGCTGATGGGTCTAAAATCAGTGACTCTTGTCGCATCGGTTTTTTTTGGTAGAAGGATTATGGACGCCGAATTTAGCCACTCGAAGCCCTGTGCATTCAGATTGAATAGACTGATCATTGCCGCCATAACATCTTCTTTAATGGTCTCCCAGCATGCTTTGAAGAATGCACCCGTGAAGCCATCCGGTCCTGGCGCTTTGTCGGAAGGCATTGAATATATAGTGTTTTTTATTTCTTCTTGTGAGAAAGGCACCTCCAGCTCGGAGAGGTCATGTTGAATGTAGCCAAGGGATTGCCAGTTTATGGTGGTCGCTCTCGGGACCACGGAGCCGATGTGGTTCGTAAAATAATCTTGTATCACCTTTTCTTTGTCTTGCTGCGCCATCGCGATCCCCCCCTCCGTATGTAGACAATGTATGTAGTTCTTTCTCCGTCGTGCATTGGCTCTACTGTGAAAAAATTTAGTGTTAGCATCACCACATCGGATGTAAGTTAGCCTCGATCTCTGTCTGATTCTTGATTTTTCAATAGCGGCGAGGCCAATGGCACGGGATTTGAGGCGGCGACATAGGTGAAGCTCCATGGCAGTGAGCAACCTATGCTCTTGGGCTGCTTCTAATTGTAACAATACTTCTTTTACTATGGCGAGTTGTATCCTTGTATCCCCTATCTTGTCTTTCTTCCAACGCTTGAGCGCTTTTGCCAGACGCGCCATTTTGATGTGCAAACGTTTCATAGGAATAGCCGAGGCGACCGTCCTATTCCAAGAATTATGGACAAGATCATGAAAGCCTTCCATCTTTGTCCAATAATTCTCGAAGCGGAAAGACGTGGTCTGATGGTGGCTAAGCTCTCCCTGAAGTAGCAGCGGGGTATGGTCCGACATGAGCGATGGGAGGGAGTGTAAGAAACACGCGGGGAAGAGCAGATCCCATTCGGGGGTGCATAGTAGTCTGTCAATTCTAGTTAGTGTCGGGTTGTCCTGTTGATTGCTCCAGGTGAAGCGGCGCCCATTTAACTTAATTTCTTTGAGCCTCAAATGATTGATCGCCGCTCTAAATGCCCCCATGAGACGCTGGTTTAGGTTGGAGTTGTTCTTGTCTTCCGCCTGGTAGATGAGATTGAAATCCCCCAGGATGAGCCATCTATTGTGTTCCGGCGGTGGAATGTTCTTTAATTCATGGAGGAACTGAAGTTTGGCTGCCTCTCCCTGCGGGCCGTATACCACCGTAATCTGCCATCTTGTTCCATCGGCCCTCATAGTGATCTGCGCAGTTATGGCGTTCGAGGTTAGTAGGATGTCGGAGAGATCGAAATAGTCTTTATTCACCGCAAGGAAGATGCCTCCTCGCGTATTGTCCGCCGGTAGCACAGCATAGGAGTTTACGAATTTTGTTCCGACCGTACGGCACACCACACTATGGTCCATGATTTGCATCTTTGTTTCCTGTAGACATACGATGGTTGCCGCTGTGGTTCTCACTAATTCATATACGGAGTCTTGCCGCGCTCCATCATTCAAGCCCCTGACGTTCCAGTTCAGTATCTGGCAATTCAACTGTGCCATAAGAAAACCAAAAGCGCCCTTTTTAACAAAGAACTGGGGAGGGAGGCTAGCTGGACGCCCTCTCCGGGTGTGATATAGGCAATAATTAGCAAGATAATGACACTGAGGCAAGCATTCATTAGAGCTGCAAACTGCTGTTGCCGGTACATCTGAGCTGCATTGGCCGTTGGCAGAGCGCTAGAAAGCAAAAGGTTTCTGGTCACAGGATTGGTCACAGAATTGATGCAACAGCAAACAACGAGGTGCAGGGTGCAAGCAATGTGTTGGGGAGGCGACTGTAGGCCTCTGGCTGTTGCCCCGTCCAAGCACCATTGTTGGACAGACACAAAAGATCTGGAGGTCTCCGAGTTTCCGTAGCGTTGAAAGATTATTAACATAAACCAAAAGATCTACCCCTTAGCTTCAGCAGGTATCTAGGCGATCGTGGCGGTGAGCGATGTCGCTGCGTCGAGGCCACACAAGGCCGTCAGCGCCTTGACGGCGTCGTCGGTGAGCGGCCCCTTGAACAGGTCAAAGTAACGCAGCATCGCCTCGTCGTGGCTGAGACCTTTGGCGTCGAGGATGCCGAGCTTTTCATCAGGACCTGCTGGCCCCTCGCTGAGTGTCCCCCTCGGCGATTCGTACCGCATGCGCGACGCTCCTGCGCGACCGGGATCGCTCCCCGCTATGCGTGTCTGTGGGGGTTGGGCTGGGCGACGGGACCTCGCAAGATTGGTTGAGGCAAAGGTATTGAGATCCCTTTAGGAAGTTCGACACCCCTCTGCTGCGGTCGTTGAGTTACGCCCGGCGGTCTCGGTACCTCTGGCGTGCGGCGTGGGAGAGGCTGTTGTGCCTGGATGGTGCTCTTTGGAGTCCTCTCAGTAACTCTCGCTGCGACGGCTGGCGGTTGGCGATCGCGTTCGCGCTTGCGCCCGCGTTCGAGTAGACGAGCCCGGGCGGAACCGCAGCACTGGGTGCTTCCGCCGCTTGCGCAGGTTGCGCTGCTTGCGCGTAGGGTGTGGACCGCAGGCCGCCTGTAGTAGACCCGTCCCGCGCGGAAGCGACGTTCAGCAGCGAGGTTGTGAGGTCGCTGCCTTGTCGCGTTGTCGTGGTCGTTGACGATGGGGGCCTTGGGGGGGCTTGGTGATGGATGATGGTTGCCACCGTTTGCACCGATGATGTCCGGCGACTTGCATCGAAGGCGCGGTGACGGTGATTTGGAGCGCGGCGTGGCGTTCCTTGTCTCCGAGCGCGTGCGCCTGTGCCTCCTCCGGTGTGTCGTCCGTTCCCGGCTGCGCCCCCTGGCTCTGCGCTGGACCTCCCCCGGGCGGCGGGGTTCCGCGGGCTTGGCGAGCAGCAGCGGCGCCCCCGTGCTTGCATCGTGACCAGCAGTATCGCTTGGGGCAGAGAGGCGAGCAGTGTCGCGGTTGCCATGGCCAGCAGTGACGCTTGGAGCCAGATGGCGAGCAGCGACGTCGGCGTCGTGTAGAGGGCGACGACGACCCCTTTTTTAATGATTGATTGTCAAAGAATATGCAAATTCATTTCTTCTGAATCTCAGGTATTAATATTTGTTGTCTAGTAACATGAATTTGTGATAGATAGCACTCACTGCCTGGTGTATGAAACCTGCATGATAACAAGTATGTAAATTCTGCTAGATTTCGGAAGCGGAAATAAAGATTGCATCTTGACAAGACATTCTAGTAATATAACAGAATGATCTGCTGGTGGCATCAAAAATCCCAAACCATTCCAGAGATATATATATATATATATATAATAAAAGCATAAAACATCACCACTCAGATGTGTTTTTACATCATCTGCAGCATATGAATTAAAATGTCACCGTGTAGAGGACAGCCAAAAGGGATACACTAAGTATATATATGTATATATATAATAAAGCGACCAATCCACTGCTTCGCCTATATGAAACAACGGTTGATGGACTACTTCCTAAGGTTCCAATCCAAAAAATCTCATCTCACGAACTACCATCCCCTGGCAACCCAAAAGTTCGAAGCATGGATGAACAAGCAACCTCTTCACTGCCTCCTCGTCTCGATCACCTGAAAGAAAAAAACATGATTTGTAACTACTAACCAAAGTAAAAACAAGAGCACAGAACAGCTAATGAAGCTACATTCTCATATAACACGGCGAAAGAAGAAGAAATTACCATGATAGTAAGTACGCGAACCGATCAAAGTATCTACTGAAGAGGTTCAACAGGTGAGGTGTCCGACGGCACGCTCTGATGTGGCTGTGGAGGATCAACTGGTGCGGCTGGAAGCGACGAGGTAACACGGAAGCTGACCAGGGACGCCCTGATGGAGCCGATCTTGGCGGTGCCTGAGAACGCCTTGTCGGCATGCACGCCGTTCTTGAAGATCACCAGAGCAGTAGAGTTCTCTGCCCGGACATCCATGACTGGCCCAAACCGGCTGAAGATCATGGTCAGGTGACGCGCCGAAGGCACAGCGCTCGCGCTGCTGAAGTTGAGCACCAGCCCAACCTCGTGATCGCCATTGTTCTTAGGAGGAAGCTGCTCATCTGCAGCTATTGCACACCTTGCCATGTCTGGCACTGGCACTGCCGGAGGTGGAGGAGGACAGGAGTTGCCGTTGGCCCTGAGGATCACTGGCGAGAGCGACATCTGCTGCGCGGCACGGCTCATGAGCTTCCCGATCTTGGTGGACATCTGCTGGGGTGTGGGCTGTGGTGGGAGATCCTCCTGTTCCAGGGCTTCGTAGTCGCCGGTGTCACAGGCTGCGTTCCCTTTCGTCGCGCTGCGGCTGCTCCTGGTCACCCTCCGTTTGGCAGAACCGTGACCGCCGGCTCCTGCGGTCGACGACCTCCTCCGCTTGGCTGTCGCAGAGACGACACCATCGATGCCGTGGAAGACCGTGTACTCGGGAAGGCCCCTCGTTTCGCCCCTCCACCGGCCAAACGCCTCGAGCTGCGCCCCGGCGACGGTGAGGTCGACCCTGTCAGCCCCGGCGAGCGGGTTGGTGGCGAGCGTGGAGACGTACCCGACGAGCGCCTCGCCCTGGAGCGCGCCCCTGGCGAAGGCCGCGTCCACGGGCGCCCCGTACGCGCCGTCACGGACGCCGGCGTTGTCGATCACCTGCCTGCTGGCGCCCGAGGCGCCGCCTCCGCAGTCGCAGCAGCACGAGAGGCCGGTGGCCACGCGGCGCGCGACCTCGGCCAGCGCGGCGTCCACGGCGGCGGCGACGGGGGCCATGGCGGCGAGGCGCGGGAACCCGGCGCGGAAAGGGAGGAGCGCCGCGGCCTCGTTCCACGCGAAGGTCTTGTCCCAGAAGTAGGCGACGAGGACTGCTTGGCGCGGCCTGCGGTGCGCCCGCGCTTCCGCCGACGCGTCCGCCGCGTCGAACACCTGACCGGGCCACCACGGGTGGTGCCTCACCTTGGCCCACACAAGGCGCCCGGGTGCCGCGAGGCCGCCGACGTCGTCCTCGAACGCGCACGCGTACCTCGCGCTCTCGCGGCCCAGCGGCGGATGCTGCGGCGCCGCGGGCTTCGCCGCCGTTGCAGGCCGCGCGTGCCGGCGCGGGCTCCGCAGTAGCTCCGCCACGTGCAGGTGCATGACGCGGAGCCTCCCCGGGCGCAGCACCGTGCTCCCGGACCCGAAATCAGCGTCCTTTCCGGGAAGCGCCGCCGCGGCGTCGCCCTCCGCCACCACCACCTCCGCCGGCGACGACGACGCCATGTAGCACGACACGCCTGGGAATAAAGAAAGAACCAAACGAAACGACACGATCAGCGCATGGCGCGAACTCCTCCTCCACAGCCGCCTCTCCTTGGACGTACACGAAACATGGAGAGTTGGAGACAGAGAGGGAAACGTACGGACGGCGGAGGGAGACGGCGATCGAGGCGCTTACCGAGGAGCGGCCGGACTGGTGCGGCGCGGGCGGGCGTCCGGGGCGAGAGAACGCCGCGACGGGTGGCGGAGGAAGCCAGCGAGACCGCGCGCGAGAGAGGAGGAGGAGGAGGAGGAAGAGGTGGTGGTGGGGTTTTGGTTGGGGGTTTGGGAGGGAGGCGCGGCAGGCAGGAAGGAGAAGAGAGGAGATCAGGAGCAGGAACCTTGATCAGGAGAAGGTGGGTGGACTGGAGTGTGTGATTGTGGGTAGGCAAGGGGGGTTAATGCCAAAAAAAAAAGATTCTTGCATGAACATGACTACATGAGCTCTGTCTCTCACGTCTGCAGTGAAGTTGTGCAGAGAGCCAGAGACTACTTTCTTCCTTCTTTTTGTTTTTGCGTTTTTTTTCATTTTTCTTTTGTTTTGGAAACAAAGGCTTTTAAAGTAGTAGTACTGTGTAGGTGTGGGTCTTGTGGATTGTGGTTGCCGTTCAATCATAGTTGGAATGCTAGCTTGTTTTGTGAATTGTGACAAGCAATGCAAGAAGCTTTCAAAAGGACAATCGTCCTGTTCTGCAGCACTACTTCAACACAGTATTTTTTAGTATTTTTCACTCACAACAAATCAGCATAAGCCAAATTTCGAGAAAACCAGCAGTGCCAATGCAGTTGGTGTGGCTGTGGATTTGGGATGAAATGTTCTGCACCAAACTTGAAAGTTGGTTGGTGCACGCCATTAACCCAGGTTGCTTTTGCTTTTCATTTCAAAGAGCCTCAGCCTTCGATGTCCCTCTTTCTATCTCTCTGCGGTCTCCCTTTTTTTTTGTCTGGATTTGGCTGCATCTTCTGTGGGTGTGGTGAGCCATGTGTGGGTGTTTTGGTGCAGATCGAGTTGCATTCTGTCCTGCTCCAGCAAGAAACTCATTGCACGAGAGGAATCTCACTGCGTCCTCCCTCCAAGCCAGCTGGGTTCTCTCTCTCTTGTTGTTCCGTTCCAGAGAGGCGGTTACTGATACTCTGCAGCAGATTGCAGGAGCATCTGCTTTATCCAACCGATTCCCGCTTCTCCTCTCAACGTGTTGTTCAACAACGCTGAGGAATTTGGTTACGATAGTCCAACGCAGTTGGTTGGTTCTGAGTTTGGTGGATTTGGACTCAGGCCAAAACAACACTTGTTCATGCGCTGCATCAAATTGTGGTATACAGGAGTATATCTGTACATAACAAGAAACATGGTTCAGCTAAAGAAAGGCCCCCTCTAGAAACGGTTGAGTGCAAATGTTCCTAATTCGGAAACATAGTTCTGCTTCTCAGTTCTATCCATGTTTACATACAAGTATATGTGATGTGATGAAGAAGATGGAGTTTCATAGGGGAAACTAATACTAATAGGAGTGGTTGACAGACACAATGCGGAGGGGACTGTGTTTAATTTGGGAGTGTTTTGCTACTAATTCGGAGATATTTTGCTTGTGGGAGATCCTATCGTCATGCGATGGAATTGGAACGTCGTTACTACGTATGACTGTAAATATTGCAAATAGCAGAGGGGCTGTTGTCGCCATGAAAAAGAAAAGAAAAGAAAGCAAAGTGATGCAGCAAGAAGCATGCATGCATCTCCGTAACCGTAACCGAAACTGCATCTCTGAAATTGCTGCTGTCACGCATGCCAGGGGTTTTTCCATATAAGCCTCATTATATGGCAGCATTATTTTACCTGTCACAGGTTCCATATAACCATGGCAGCATCGAATCGATCTTCTAGTTCTTGTTGCAGCCATGCACACATCAGCGGCGGGCGGTGGCCTGTTCTCTCGATCGTAATTTCGTGAAATTTCACAATCACGGGCGAGAGGTGACTGACTAGCTGTTTCAGACGCGCGCGAGAGAGATAGACAGAGAGAGCAGGTTGCAACTCAACACTCATGGAGGTCTTGGCTCCATGGCTTCATGTATCAGCATTATTGTTGTTGGCTGCATGCAGCTTTTTGCCTGTTTGGGGGTCTGGCACTGCTACCAGGGCAGAGCTGCTGCCTGCGTCGGCGGGCATCGTCAACCCCATGGCGAGGAGCCAATTCCAACTGTACAGAGCTGTGGGCTAATTTCTCCTTGGGCTTCTCGCAGACTGCGAATGAACGTGTCACCTGTCCGTGTAGCCCATGGACCGGCCATACCGTGGGCCTCAATTCCGTGACGTCAAAGGAAAAAAAAAGAGACTGTTCCTGCCTCCACGACGGCAAAAGTCAATTTAACTCACGGATGATTTTCCTCCTCCAACTCTAAGACGAGACATTTCACTCATTCAACTTTTAAAAGCGTTCAAATTATCTCTATACCTTTCTAGGTGCAACGTTTTTAAAACATGTTTAGATATTGGTTTCTAATACTTCTACGTATGAATTTTAAGAGGGTTTTCCCGATTGCACTAAATATTTTACCTTAATTTGTTGTCTTCCCAATTCTTGTCCGGTGTTCATCATAAAATCATGTATCTCGTGCCCAGAATGTATTGTACTTCTTTATTTCAAAACGTATTTTGATATACCAAGATTATATGTGTTGTGCATTCTAGAGTCTAGACATCACATTACTACATTGGCACCACCCTTACTCCCCGTTTCTTCTGGAGTTTGTAGATTCTTTTATACTGCTCGAGGTGTTGAGTTACGGATATTAGCTACGATGCTACTGCTTTTATTACTTATTATTTGTTAAAAAAATATTAGAACATATATGCGCCTTTTAGAATGGTGTATCCGCGTTTTCGTATTTCATGGCTTGTCGTACCTGCCAGGAATTAGTTGGTCTCTCACTATTGAAACTAGCCCGGCTTTGTCTAAAAAACAAGGATAATGCTCTCCTCAGACCGCCCATACGTCTGGATGACTTCTCCGTTAAAAAACACTGGACGCCGATTCCACATTCCTCCTCGCTCGTCGCGGCCTTATCCACCATGCCATCGGGCCTCTGCGCCCCGACTCCACCGTGCCACTCACCTTCTCTAGCACGGGGGCGCTCGCTGCGGGCGGCGTAGCTGCTCGGCGCTGCCACCTCCACCACGGGGGACCGCACCCGCGCCACCCTATCGCTGTTACCACGCAACCACCCGTCTGATGGTCATCCCTGCGTCACTCCGCGGCATCGAGCTCCGCGCCGATGAGCCTCCATTTCATCAAGCAGCAAGTAGATGTTGCGCTTCAAAGCGCATGCTGTAAGCGTATGTTTCAAGTGTTTCAGATATTTCAGAAATATGTTGCAAGTGGTTCATATGGATGTTGCAAAAATAGCTTAGAATATTGCATATGTTGCAATACTTGTACACGTATGTTGCAAGTGTCTGTTCCCAATGTTTTATATGTTTTCAGACATATGTGTGCAGGTGTGTTTATCTGGATGTTGCATATGTTTCACACATATATTGCAAGTGTTTTATCTGGATGTTGCATATGTTTAAAACGTTTTTCAAGTGTTTTCAGATGTTTTTGCAAGCGTTTCAGACACATGTTTCAATTGTTTCATCTGTATTCAGATGTATGTTGCAAGAGTTGTATCTGGATGTCTAAAAGGTAGATCGGGTGTTGCACACGTTACAATGTGATGTGACCCACCTACCGCAGCCGCCAACTGCACCTGCTGGGGCGCCGCCGAGCGGGCGCGGATGTCCAAGGAAGCGAAGGGGTGCGGGGGGTCGGGCGGGGTACAGGCGCCGCATGGGGGCGGGTGGGCCGTAGACGCCGTGTGGGGTCGGGTGGCATGCGGAGTGCAGGGCGGGAACAGGGTCCAGGTGCGTGCTTTAGTCCGGACGCTAGCACTGGCAGAAAAACAATGATGTGGTTGCCACATGGAACATAATTTCACATGACATGGCAGTAACTTAGCAAAAGTGAATTAATAAAAATAAGTTAGAGCAACTCTAAAAATCTCTTTATATCTTTCCTAATTGATAATAATGGAATTTTTGGTGAAAAAATACCTTTCAATAGCTGATTTAATTTAAACCTCCCCTAAATTGTCATTATATATTGGATTTTTCGCTAGCCAAAGATAAAGAGAGCGGTACTGCTGGCTCTCTAGAATGCGCATAAGATATAAAAAAATGTTGGAGGAGGGAAGATATAGACAATGTTTTTTTAATGACTCTCTGTATAATAATTTAAGGAGTGAGTTTAAAAAAACTATTGGCGATGCTCTTACAGACCCACGGTGTGGGTTGAAGTGAGATGCATTTAAGCCAAGATGGCGCGTCCTGCATCCAAAGGGGAACACCCATGGATCGATAATGTCGACAACACTGAAGGGCTTGACATCTCTAATAGTAAGAAGACACATAACTACATAGGAGCCATATCGTTGTGCCAAATGATGATGATTTTGACAACGGTGCTCATAGCATGCCCCTGGAGCCACAACCTTTGACTCTACGTTTGCCAAAGGATAGACATGCTGACTTTAACACCTGCCAAAGTCACACTTGATAAAACTAAATCTTGTGCTGACTTCGTACCTCGTTGGTCTGATCTGAATGCCCCGTCGCCTTTTAAGATGGAGTGTATATATGTAGCACTTGGACTTACTTGCAGACACCAAATCATCCTTAAAATCTATTTTTTTTGTACAATTGCATATTCAAATAAGGATGTGTCTAAAGGGAAGGGGCTTATGCCCCCTCCTCGCTGAAGCTGTGCGGAGGAAGAAGAGAGGAAGAAAGAAGTTATGGGCTAGAGAAATAGAAACTTAGCAAGAGCACTTACATGGTGCTCGTGCTTGCAGTTTGCCTCTAAGTAAGAGAATGAGAGGTAGCACTGCACGGGTTCATTACTAAGCGATATATATGTAGTTTAATTTAT